TCGCAGTCTAAGGGACAAACGATGTTACGAAACCTATAGAAATGTAAACAAAATTGATACACATTATTAAAATCTCATCAAATCTTGTTCTTCATCTTGTCAATACAAGTTGTCAATATTAAAATCGGACGCTCCGTTCTCTTTAGAACTGAGTTACCGTTTTTGGCACTTTTTGCCCTAAATCTTCGAAACGGGTAGACCTGCCTTCGCCAAAAACTAATCAGCACTTCTTATCAATAGGAATCGAATAATTGAAATCGGTTGAACCGTGTTCCCGAAATCGTCGACGAAAATTTGTATCCGCACACACACACATGCATTCATTTTTCTAACAAAATGGTATGCCAAAATGTTCAGAAACCTCTAAAACGTAAGGATATATAAAAATTTTCACATTTTAGATTTTTTTGCGATTACTATAACTTGCCCTACGGGAATTTTTTTATTGTTTATTTATTGACTTTGTATGCACGTATATTAGTCATCATACATTTTATAATTAATCTTTACACTTTTATTTTATTTGCTTGTATATAATTGTATAGTGCACCATATATTCTTTTCTTCGTCAATAATATTATAAAATTGGTTGAAGAGTTGAAAATTTATAGTAAAAAAATGATTGCCTTTTTACGATAATTTAAAATTCCTTTGAACTAGAATACAGCCTTAATAATAAATTTAATTTATTATGATAAACTTTTAATCTGAGATCTAATTTATAGAACATATGAAACATGTTATTCAATCTGTGCATGTGCAATCCTCATATTGGCTCAAAATGGTAGTATTACACAACACAGGATCACAAAATAAAAAAAGTTATCTGGATGTGCAATATATGTTTTCCAATGTCCAATTTCCAAAATTCCAATAAACACGAATCTGAAGTTAAAATAAAAATAAAACGATAAAATCTCCGGCCAAGAAAATTTTCGACGTGATAATTAAGATCATATAATTTCTGTCGTCTGAACCTTTTCTTTCTAAATGACCTGTGCAAGGGATTTCCGCAACACATACCTATTGAGTATTTTTTGTAGCTTCCAGGAGTAATTCGCAAACATATTTCTATTTTTATTTGCATCATATAAATTCAAATATGTTTGCAAATTATCTAGGGGCATTGGGGAGTAAATATGTTAGCAAATTACTGCTGAAAAATACTCAACAGATAAAAAAAGGCGTTGCAAAAATCCGTTGGACAAGCCATAAAAGAGCCATATTTTTTATTTTGTGGACCCGTGATATTTTCATGAATGCCCGCAATAATATGAAACAATATTTTTCCTGCAGCTGTATGCAATGGGAAAAATATTTATGTTAAAATTATATTTTTTAATGATAATGATTAATGATATTTGATAATGATGAATGATTTGTTATGATGAAATAATTATATCTAATCAAATAAAAAATATTTTCATACCAAAATTCTTATTATTGTATTATTCAAATCAAATGAAAATGATTGAGACAATACATGACTATTGTGCGACACATGCAAAGAAACTTGTAATTTATCCAGATATGATTTATGAAAATTTAACCATATTGAATATAATTTTATAATAATAATAGATAGAGCTGTTGAGTTGTTTCAGTCAGTCAGAGCAGCATTCTTGTAATTCGGAGACCCCAAAACAAGATGCTCAGCAACGCTCCATGGTTTATGACCAACCATATGTTCTGCAAGGATCTGAGGATACTTACAGTGGTGGAGGTCATAAGAAGCAAAAGCAGAAGCAGAAGTTTAAGTTTTCAGAAAAACTTGAATGCAGATATTAATCCAGGAATACAATCATTTAGTCAAAAGAAGAAGATTAAAAGGAATTAATTTTTCTGTTCCATGTGGAATTTATGTATATACATTATTATTGTTATAGGTTTAATTATTATTATTGATTTTTGTATTATAATTATTGTTATTTTAATTATTTATTAATTTTTATTATTATTTTAATTATTTATTATTATTATTTTAATTATTATTATTATTATTTTAATTAGGGATCGTTCAAGTATTACGTAAGCAGATTTATTACAATTATTTACCCCCCCCCCATCCTCCGTGTCAGCAAAAGTAAGCAAAGCTCTTACCCCCCACCCCCACGCTTACGTGAACATTTTGCAATTAATGTAAAAAAATAAAAATACTACCTATGAATACTACCTAATCATCATCCAGACTCCCCTGTCCCCCATGTCAACCCAAAATAAGCAAATCAACAAACCCCCGCCCCCCCTATAATGCTTACGTAATACTTGAACTGCCCCTTATTTATTATTATTACTTTAATTATTCAATATTATTATTAATATTTTTTAAGGCTTATTTGGTAAGTTAAATCGTTATTAATGATATATATTTTTTAAATACACCTATCCCTCGTTTTACATGGAAGATAAGTTCCATAAAAAAAACGCATAACTCGAAAAATTCACTTTTATATCGAAAAAAAAACCGCTGTAAAAAGTCCTTTTTGTCAATTTTTAATATTATGAGTAACGAATACATTGAATGAAAAATAAATATCTACATATATCAAACACATTTAATAAATTATGAGAATATTAATTAATAAACAAAAAACTATTTTAAATATTTTTTGTGGTACATAATATATATAGGGTATGCCATCTAACATTTTTCATTTTCATTTTTTTTCAACGCTCAGCCGAGACTTTTTTCTTCATTTTTTAATAAAATTATTATAATCAATATTAAATGAATTAATTTCATTATTAACTGAAAGGATTGTACTTCCAAATAAAAAATAAATTTTAGAAAATATTCAGTAGTTTGTAAAAAAAAATATTTGGCGGACCCTATATAATCTTTAGGGGGCGACCATTAATCACGTGAGCGAGTTTTTAAGCATTTTTGGAACCCCCTCTCCCTTGGTGATACATGGTGATATTCAAAATTATCCCCCCTCCCTCTCCAAACTTCACGTAAAAAACTAACATTTTTCAATTTTTTTTGAGAATGTTTTTAATAACGACCTGTTTTAAAAAATAGGAAATAAATACACGTGATATCTTACTATACCCCTCCCCCCACGTGATATTTCGTGATTTTTTGCCAAACCCCCCCTCATAAAAAAAACCTCACATGATTAATGACGCCCCCTATATTTGAATTCTAATATTTGATTTTCATATTTTGCCACTGTGAAACTGATTTTTTTATAAATTATTTACTTTGTATATAATCATTTATTTTAAATAATTAATGATATTTAAACACTAATTAAAAATAAAGTATAAAAACAATGATGCACTTTGTTTTGGTATTTCAAACAAACTATCTTATACACACATAAAATTTAGTTTTGATCATGAAACGGCGATTTTCCATTTTATCTACATATTTCCATCATAGACATATTTTACTGAGAATTCGTAACAGTAACATGCATCATGAAAATGTTATTCTAGATAAAAGCAATTTATAAATTAGTGTTTATTCTAGTAAAATAATAAGTTTCGTTATTTTTTTTTTCGAAAACCGTGTAAAAAGAGGGATAGGTATGAGTGAATTTTTAATGTGTTTATTTAAAATAATAAAATAATAAATGAGTGAATGATTAATGATTAATAAAAAAGACGTATGTGTCGGCAGAGTAAAGGAAATACCCTTTTTTACACTGAAATAGTAAAAAAGAATATATGAATATACAAATATATAATATAAAGCAACAAAAATAAAATAAGTTATAAATATAAATTATCCTATAATATCGTTTAACATTGTAAATATAATTTCGCGTTTTACTTCTATCATCAAAATTTAATAAACATAAAAAAAATGATTACAAATTATCTATCATTAACGGATTACTTTAGATAATAATAATGACTTTGTACAAAAAATCATTAGATATGAAACGTTAAACATGTTTGTAGCATATAGAAATCTTTATTAGCAATGCTTCTGATATTGCACTAAATAATTAAATAAAAAAAAAAAATTTATTATCGTAAAAGTGCTACTCTTATGTTGAAATTAGCACATTTTGTAAGTAAATTTAGAAAAAAGAGATCTTTGATGTTACTATTTAAATTCGTTGTTGCTAGCAGTCTCTAATATAACAACGAAAATTTTGTAAAAAAATTCTAACATTCATTTTTTTTTTGTTTTAAAAGATGTCATGAATCAGTTATTTATAAATATGTTAAAATAAAATTTATAGGAAAAATTATATAATTATAATATAACAATAATAAATCACGTGACGTTTAATTCCAATTCTCATACATGATCTATCCCATATTGTGGTTAAGAATAAATACAAAACGTATGAATTGTTTATTTTAATATGATTTCAATTATATGAGTTAAAATATGTAAAATTGTTGATTATTGTTATATTGCTAAATATAAAAATTTATATTTTTGTGTAATTTATGTATTTTAAGACTTAAATAGAATAATAATAATATAAAAAATAGATATAAATACACAAATATTTAAGGAAAACCAATTGGAATTATTCGGATATTATGTATTTCAATATATTCACTACTTTTTAAACTATCCTTTACCTACGATTGAGTGTAAATTTATTAAAACAATTACAATTTAAACAAATCCTTCAAACGGTTAAAACACGCAGTTGTAAAAGTGAAACCTGTTATGATTTTTTATATTTGAACGATCAAGTGTTGTGTCGCAACATGTAACATTTCCCTAAATATTTTCAAAGCGTATTTATAGATTTGTGAGACAAGTCGAAAAAGTGCAATTTTAAAAATCGTAAAATCCATATAAATAACACAATAATGTTGTCAAGCTTTTTAGTGTTTAGTGTTGTTAAAATGCATGCGTGCGTAGGTATACACACAACACACTACACTAACAATAAGTACACAAACGAAATCGCGCATGCGCAGAAGCGCAGCTGATGGCGAACGCGCTTGCGAACGTTGCTATATACGAGACAATGTGTAAAGTGCGAAAACTTATGATTTTAATAATAAATATAACAAACACTCACCTCGTATCAATCACATATATTTTTCACGATTTTATGTCTTTACTTAATTCAAAAACTAGTCAATTTTTTCACAAAATTAACACAAACTCTTGCCTCTCTCACTACTGAATCCGTATTGATGGCGTATCGCTGTACGCTCGCTCGCGGACGCGGAAGCCATTTTGGACACAGGGACGAGCATTGGCGAAAATATCCGAACGGAAATATATGGGACGATCTCTTGATAATTAATTATAAATTAAATTCTAAATATTCAATTAAACGGACCATTGTACATTTGAAGGTTTTTTGACAAAGGCTCTGATGGACAGATTAAGGATTTTGCAAAACGTAGAAATCCAAACAAAAACAATTCGTCTTATTGAATATTACATAACTATTAATTAAATAATTAGTTCAAATCAATAACAATTTACTTATCACGAGTTCTTACATGCGTGTAAAGATTCAAATTGCAAAAGTTTTTAAAATGCACTCTCAATTGTGTTTTCTAAAACACAATGGTGATTAAATTTAAAAAATTGACTATGTATTAATAATAATTATAATAAATAATTATAATAAAAAACTAGTGGGGTGTATGGCATCGTGCCTTAAGGCAAATTGCTGGAACTTCCCGTACCGTAAAGAAATGATCGAGGAATATTAAATGTTTTAAAATAGATTATTATAAATATTGTCGAATATTTATAAGAATTATATAAACTAAATTGGAAAGTTGAAATTATTTGTTTAAAGTATATTAGAACAGAATTAAAATAAAAATCTGAATTATTTTCGATATACAAAATAAAAATTTTTTTGGAAAAAAAAAATTTTAAAGCAAATTTTTTTTTTCCAAAATCAATTATTTTGTTAAAACAAGCAGAAAGTTCTTTGAATAATATAAATCGGACGCTTAGTTCTCTCAAAAACTGTCATTTTCTGCACATTTAGCTCCGTATCTTCGAAATGGCTGGACCTGCCTTTGCCAAAAACTAATCACCCCTTCTCTCCGTCATTACAAATTGAATGCTTTTAGGATCATTTAAATCGGATGCTCCGATCTCTCAAAAACTCGATTTCAATTCTGCACTATTTGCTCCGTATCTCCTAATCGAATGGACCTGTCTTTGCCAAAAACTAATCAGCACATCGCCCTATCAATAGGAATCTATTGTTTTTTGAACCATTCAAATCGGTTGATCCGTGCACCCGAAAACGTGGACGAAAAATTGTATCCATACATACATACACACTCACACACACACACATCCTTTTTTCTGAGGTATGCCAAAATGTTCAGAAACCTTCAAAACGTCGAGAAATGTAAAAATTTTCAATTTCGATTTTCGGCCCATTACAATAACTTACTCTACGGAAAGTTAATAATTATTATATAAATATTTTTATCATTTTTATGTTCTTTATTACAATAAAAACTAATAATGAAATTCAGAACTTCAAAATCGTATGAGCTGATTGTGATGATCATCGATCATCAGAAATATCGATATTTCTTAACTACGTTTAGTACAAGGCAACCCAACGGTTGGCCTATTTTAACCTGATAGATTTTTAATATTAGAATTTCGTTAATACTGACTGATTATATATTTTTAATTTGATGTCGATAAAGGGCTATTTTACTCGTAAATATATTTTAAATGCACTACTGCTTGATATCAGGCTAACTTTGAGTTGCAAGCCTAAAGCTCTTAGGAATGATTGTGAGAAAACGATAATAACTTTTCAACAGAATAATTGTTTACTTAATAAGTTTTTTATACGCATAAAATATGAAATAAGTAATTAGTTATTAATAATATTTGCAAAATCAGAAACTATATGAATTTCGGACATGTAATAAGATAATTTGACAAAAAAGTGAAAACTATGCTCCTTTAGCAAAATTAATTAATTTTTAATTTGTAAATTAAGTGCAAAATATTATTTTTTTATAAAATTATTAAATAATTTTAATTATTTTTAGATTTGTTGCACCATCCAAATCATAGATAAAAGAAAAGTACATATAATAATCCTAATGGCATTTCTAATATTGTCAACGGTATTTCTTTTTGAATGATATAATATAACTTTTCGATTAAAAATTTGTGTACATAGCAATAACATAAAATATGAAATAAGTAAGCTGTAAACGAAGTGCAAGATATTATTTTTTATAAAATATTAAATAATTTTAATTATTAACTTCTCATCGGGAAAGTTATAGTAATCGCAAAAGAATCGAAAATGACAATTTTCATATACCTTTACGTTTCAAAGGTTTCTGAATATTTTGGCATACCTTAGAAAAAATGGATGTATGTGTGTGTGTATGTGTGTGTGTGCGGATACAAATTTTCGTCGACGATTTCGGGAACACCGATCAACCGATTTGAATAATTCAAAAAATATTCGATTCGTATTGATAAGGAGACGTGCTGATTAATTTTTGGCGAAGGCAGGTCTAGTCGTTCCGAAAATACGGGACAAAAAGTGCCCGTATTTTAATAATTCAAAAAACATTTTACTTGTATTGACAAGATGAAGAACTGACTAAATTTTTGGGAAGGCAGGTTCAGCCGTTATAGACTCTCAATAAAAATAAGTTAAAAAAATGTCATTTGGCGGTCAAAAATGTTTATTGGACATAACATTTTAATAATGTGTACACATCTTGTGTAATTTTTTTGGGGTTCCGTACCAAGATTTTTAATTACGATACGGGAAGTTCCAGTAAAAACCCCAATAGTTTTTATATTTGTTGCATTATCCAAATGGCATTTCTAATATTGCCAACGGTATTTTTTGAATGGGACGCGCATAAGTATTAATCATGATCGGCATTACAGAATTTTAGTTGAAAAGAAGTGTATTATGTATTTTTCTCCGTTCAAGTACTTTTACTTTTTATGATAATAATAAAAGTATGGATCGCTGTTTGCATTCAAATAATTCCGTTCGTTTGGTCCAAGCAAAACAAACAAAGCCACCACCTCTCCTCGCCACGCATCTCTCTCATTTGTTGCTCGTGCTTCTGTGTGTTTTGTGCCTCAACTCAAGTGACAATATTCTTATTTTCTGACGTTGGTAGCATTCTCGTGCGCCATTGTTAGTAGACGTTTGTTTTGCAATAATAATAATATTATTCGGATTACTTATTTTTAGATAGAATAAGTAAACAAGAAAACGCCTCATATGTTTTTGATATCTGTGTTATCGAGTGTTTTGTAAGAATCGACAATTAAGCAAACTTATTTTTTACACCGCAGATAGTATTAAAATTTAGCCTTATTGACAGCAAAATACTGACATTCTTGGAAAATGCTATGAATCAGATTTGTGATGTCATTGATCTGTAATGATATTTAGACGTAAACAATGTACAATTTCAAGTTCTACTTGTTAACAGAGAGTGATAAAATAAAAGTGAAGTAGAATTTAAGCACTGACCATAATGTAAGAAATCATTTATAATGCCGCCCCTATTAAGGAGTACATTTTCACATGATTTTTGGACTGTGGGTGTTCAAGATGGGGAGTCCGAATCCGTTGAGCTCAATGTGTGCATGCCCACGGGGGTGCTCATATTGCTCAATGTCAATAGAAATGCTACTCTACAAGAAGTCAAAGAGGTACAAATGACCGATGAAAATATTTATTCTAACTTTATTTACTTTTGTCTTATCGACATAATGCAACCAATGGTGAAATTTTATTCCTAATAATCATTTTATATTTGCCATTCTTACATTGACATCATTAATATTATATATGATTGTTTGAAAGATAATCTAGGGTACATAACATGTAAAAATACTTGTATAGCTTCTATTTGTTTATCAAAATGATAGCGGCTAAAATTGTAAAAATCAGTTCTGTAATACTTAAGTGTTATATAGCTTGATAAACAAATTACAACTATAATTACAATATTATCATTCAATGCATATTATTTTATATACAAATATAGTCAACAATAACATTGTAGAGTTGCAATATATATCTAGTAAAGAAATTTATGTTTATTATTATTTCAGGATTTATGGGAGGAAGCAGTGGGATATCCATTACACGCCATGTTGCACGATATGTCGATGTATGTTTTCTCCTGCCTTACGGCAATGGCCGAAACAGATGAGCTACTGGACGAAAATAAGAGATTGTGTGATGTTAGGCCATTTTGCTGTATTCTTAAAGTCATTGAGAAGAAAAATGACAAAGCTGATAAAAATTTAAATAGTGCCATTAGTAACTTAATTGGCAAAGGTATGGTAAATTTTTTTGGTATTATTAATGTAATTACTTAATATATAAATTATTAATTTAGAATATTTATATTTTAGGTTTACATGAATTTGATGCTTTAAAAAATATAGAAGTGAATGATTTTCGATGGAAAATGAGATTACTAGGTGAAGAAGTGACAAAAGGCCACCAGCAAAGAAGTTGGATTGATAGGTTACGTTATCAATTCCCTCCACGATTAGCTACTTCTGATAAAATTCCTCAAACAGTTTCATCTAGGTTAAGAGAAGGTTCTTTTGTTCTCCTGACAAAATTTGAAAATAATGAGGTCAGGTTTATTTGACTTCTGGATTTTGTGAATTACATTATAATTTAAAATTCATATTTTAATTTTGAATAATCATTTACAGATAAGTTTTACATTTAATGTTCCATATACAATCACACCACATCTATTACTGGTTTCTATATTAAACAAAAAAGCTATCACTATGAATACCAAGGGAGATCACCCAGCAGAATATATATTAAAAGTATGTTAATAAGAACTAATATCTGTATCTATATTTTTGAATATATATAATAGATTTAAAATCGTAACTCCTATATCAGCAATTAAATAATTCCTTTCTGTATAGGTTTGCGGCCAAGAAGAATATCTTATAGGAGATTATCCATTAGTTCAATTTATGTATATACAAGAAGCTTTAGCAAAAGGTGCTATTCCTACAATAGTAACTATGTCTGTACATAGTTTGCCATGTAAGGAGTTCAAAATTTTTTATAATTCTTAAAATATGACATATTATCATTTCTCCATATATGTTTTTAGTTGCCACAGATAATATATATGAGTGCCCAGATGATTTACGTTCTCGCTCTTCATCTTCTACTTTAACTCTTAGAAAGAAAAATAAACATGTATCAGCATGGTCAATTAAACAACCATTTCAAATAACGGTTTCAGCAATATGCAGACTGAACTGCGATAAAGATAAAGAGGTACAAATAAATTTTTATCAATATGCGATATGAAGTTTACTGGAATAACAATCTCAACTACATTTTTGGTGGACTTGTCAATTTAAAATAAATTACATGACAATTAAAAATTCATGATCCACAGGTGGCAATTCAGGTAGGAATGTTTCATGGTGGTAAATCTTTATGTGAACCTAAAAAGACTAGTACACGAATTGTAGAAACAGATGGGCCTGAAACAGGAACTTGTGAATGGGAGCAATCACTTAAGTTTGATCTTGAGGTAATCATTTAAAAAATGCAATGATTTATCATGTTCCTTCATATCTTAAAATAATCCGTACAAATAATATATTACCATTATCACTTTGTTGTTTTCAGGTACGAAATATACCAAGAATGGCCAAATTGTGTTTTGCAATTTTCGAAATTTCTAAGTCAGCCAAAGGTCTCCGTTCTAGGAGGTTAAAGGACACAAACAAGGTAATATACAATACAATTATATTTACCAACAAAATTTAACTTTAATTTCCCACTTCAGGAATTATATATGAACCCATTAGCATGGGCAAATACAATGGTTTATGATTACAAAAATCAGTTAAGATCAGGCCCAGTAACTTTGTACATGTGGACAGAAGCTGAAGATTCACAATCTGAAGACTTATTGAGACCACTACATACAGTTGCATCAAATCCTGATGTAGAACAATGTACAGCCTTAACTCTGTGCTTCCATACGTGAGTGTTAATCCTTCATTCGCCATACTGTTTTTATAAAGTATACTTGAAAAAGATTTTTTGCACAGATATTCAAAAGAGAATACTGTGATGTATCCAACTATGGATGCTGCTTATCGGTATGCAGAAACAATGCAACAAGATGAGACTCGTTTAGCTCGAGATCCAGCTGATGTCAGTTCTGACAAATTAGAGCATTTAAAAGTTATGGCACAAGGAGATCCATTTCAAGATATGCATGAGCAGGATAGAAAAGACATTTGGGAACTGAGGTATTTTTTAAATTTGTATTTCTAAAATACAATGGAATGTTTACACTTTAAATAGATATCAATTCATTTCATGCATAAATTTGCACATATGGGGTTAATCTATTCAACACTTCAAGCCAGGCTGCGCCATCAATATCCACAAATTCATATTAAACAAATTGTATAATTATGTAAATGTCCCAAAAAACTAATTTCAGACGATACTGCCAATTGCATGTACCAGGTTTACTTCCACGTTTATTACATTGTGTTGAATGGAATGATCATCGAGATGTTGCAGAAGTTGGCTTATTGTTACACATGTGGCCAAAATTACCTGCAGTGCGAGCACTTGAATTATTGGATTATGCTTATGCAGATCAAGCTGTTAGAAAATATGCTGTGCAATGTTTGCAGGACATGAGGTATGAAATCATTAAAAAATATGATTGCGTGATTAAATTATTTAAATTGCTTTGCTTTGCTAGTATATACAAAATGCATTTCTATATGATTTTGATTAGAAAACAGTATAAATTTAGAGGTTTACAAAATTTTGTCTTCAATATTTTATGAGATTGAATTCAATGAATAACAGAGAAATAAATTAAAGACTATAAACTTTATAAAAAGAAAATTGTAAATAATATTATTCAATTTTCAGCGATGAAGAACTTTCTTTATATCTTTTGCAATTAGTGCAAGCCCTGAAACATGAAGCATACTTATACTGTGATTTAGTGGAATTTCTTTTAAGAAGAGCACTATTTAACCAAATGATTGGTCATTATTTATTTTGGCATCTCAGGTAATAAATAACTCAATATTTTCATTGATCTGTATGAAAAAGTCATATATTGTACATATATATCAGGTCTGAGATGCGTATGCCCACTGTATCAATAAGATTTGGATTGATTTTGGAAGCTTATTGCCGGGGAAGTCAGGAGCATATACCAATTTTGCAGAAACAAATGTTATGCCTTGATAAATTCAAAGGAATTAGTGATATTGCCAAGTTAGGCTCTAAAGATAAGGCTCGCATAGCTATTCAAGAATATCTTAATGCAACACATGTCTCTGAAGGTGTGAGAAATGTACTGAGTCCACTAAACCCAAAATATCGATGTAGAAGTGTAATGTAAGTTAAAAATAATATCAATATCATAATCAAAATATTATTTTTAAATACATAGAAAGTTGAAATTAAAACACTTTATTTAAGATCAAGTAAATGTCGGGTTATGGATTCAAAAATGCGGCCTCTTTGGTTAGTTTTTGAAAATTCTGACTGTTATGGTGACGAAATAAATGTGATACTTAAATTTGGAGATGATCTGCGCCAGGATATGTTAACCCTGCAAATGTTAAGGATAATGGATAAATTATGGAAGCAGGAGGGATATGATTTCAGGTAGATCTGGGATATAAATTTTGATTAAAAATTATATTAGGTTGGCAACTAAGCAAATGTAGATTTATTAGATTATCAAAGACATGTTTTTGTGGAACTAAATAACTTTAGACTGTAAGGTAATGTCCATTTTGATCAATGACTTTTTGTCATCTTTCAAGCAGCATCATTATCTGACTTTCATAAAACTTCTGGGGTTTATTATCTAAAAACTGAATTCAAAATTCAGTTGAAACCATCTAAAAGTGAAAGCCACACTTACTTAGTTGTCAACATAATTCTATAAATAACGATGTTGATGTAATATTGATGGAATTTGTTGTTATAGAATGAATCCTTACGGGTGTATCAGTATGGATCATCGAGTTGGCATGATAGAAGTTGTTTTGAATGCTGAAACAATAGCAAATATACAGAAAGAAAAAGGAATGTTTTCAGCTACATCCGCATTTAAGAAAGGATCTTTACTCGGTAAAATATTTTTGATATAGCCATCACATTTTTGTGTATATATATATATATATATATATATATATATATATATTTTATTAAGTAGTCATTTTTACGCTTACATAAATAAAACTGTAAGACTTTAAATATTTATTATTACTAATAAATGTTTTGTACATAGATTGGCTGAAAGATCACAATACAACAGAGGAATCTTTAAATAAAGCAATAGAAGATTTCACCTTAAGTTGTGCTGGGTACTGTGTTGCAACTTATGTTTTAGGTGTTGCAGATAGGCATTCTGATAACATTATGGTTAAGAAAACTGGACAGGTATTTAAAATAAGTTACTGTGACAACATAATAACATAATAATCATTCACTTTGCAACTAAATAAGTAATGTTCTTGTAGCTGTTTCATATCGATTTTGGTCATATTCTTGGACACTTCAAGGAAAAATTTGGATTTCGGCGCGAAAGAGTGCCTTTTGTTCTCACACATGATTTTGTGCATGTAATTAATAAAGGTCAAACATATAAAGGCCAAACAAAAGAAGCTTTGGAATTTCAAATATTCCAAAAGCATTGTGAGACTGTAAGTGTGCAATGTATTTATTTAATATATTGCAAATAATTACCTTAAAGCAATAAATATTAATAATTTCAGGCATTTTTAATATTGCGGAGACATGGTTCGTTAATAATTTCATTGTTCGCAATGATGATATCTACAGGATTGCCTGAATTATCTTGTGAAAAAGATTTAAATTACTTACGAGATACTTTGGTTAGTATTTTTGCTTATAAGATTACTTACAATTGGTTGAAATAGGAATAAGCTTATCAAAACCAAGTATGATTGTATTTAAGTTGAAATTAATATTATTTTCTAGGTACTGGATTTGTCAGAGGCAGATGCCCAGGCGCATTTCCGTTCAAAATTTGAAGAAGCTTTAGGGAATTCATGGAAAACGTCTTTGAACTGGGCCACTCACAATTGGTCAAAAAATAACAAACAATAATATATGTATCATTAGAATATAATTTTTGTGATACAATTTTGTAAAAAATGTGATGGAACTGTATATAGAATGTTGAATGCAAAAGAGGTTTATGCATATCAGAAAGGTTTAAAATTACATGTAGTGTTCTATAAGAACATTGTGCATTAGTTAAAATAGTTTCTCAGGTAAAAAATAATTCTTTATAGTTCTATTTGTATTTATGATAATGTTTGTATCGTTCTGAAAGATTTTGTAATATTAAATTATTGACAAACTTTATTTTATATATAAAACTTTTCTGATCATCGGCTTCTTCATTTTGTATGTGAGGAGAGAATCTTACTTATTGTTATATTAAAATATTTATGTATTTTATTTATTATCTACCATGAAATGAAATAACTATTAGTTTGTAAGAAGTATCACAATAACCTTAAGATAGATAGATTCAAAAGTTCATATTTAGTTAATTCAGACAATTATTTAATTATTGTTGAGTCAGAGAGGGCTATAATATTTATAGTTAGGTTTGATTATTTCTGTTTATTTTCTCTAAATGTTTGTTTTCCATATTTTCTACAAAATTTATATGATTAAAACTATGAATTTATATGTATCACATATGCAATATTATTATAATGTTATAAGTTTTTTTTGTAAATATGAATTGATCGAACAGTTATTTGTTTCATATAAAAATGATGAAGTATGAAAGATATTGTGATTTATTGAGAATAAATAAAATGTAAACATTTTGTAAAAATTAAATTTATAATATCTACATTTAGACTGATAAATTTATTTCATGCAATTTTATAACAGATGTTAAACAACATAGTTTGCTCAATGAAAAGACTTAAACTGTAGTAAATTTTGTTAAATAGCGAATTATTAAAAATGTGAATAATATTGTGGACAATATTTTAATATTATTAACACTGCCTGTATATTATTGACGATATTAAAATATTAGTTCAAATAGTGATCAAGCGTTTTATTAGCAACATTTTTCAGGATTTGTATAAAAATTAAGTGCATACTTTAATTGTAAGCAAAATGTATTTGACAATTGTTTATTTTAAAAGTTTAAGTATTACGAAAACATAAGAAATAATTTAATAAGAGGGTAAACATAAGAAATAATTTTGGTGTTTAAATATATATTTTTGATGATATAGTTTTTCCGATTTCAAAAATTTAAAAGCCATTCGATGTAAATCGATAAAGACTAGGATTTATCAGTTTTATGCAATGATCGGCCAAGCCGTTTCTTTGTAATTAGCAGAAGTGTGAAATTTTTCATCCAAGATTTAGCACACAAACTTGCATCGATTTTTTAAGTTTTAATACTGTTCGAAAGATATTGGTTGGAAAACGCGTTGATTGGTTTTTGGTAAACATCTGCCGGGACGTTTGCTCAAGATAGAAAAAGATATGGTAATTTAGGGTTCATAAACATCTTATAATGTATTTATATAACAATCATTTGAAGATAATTTTTTTGGCTTTATTAACTTCCAGTAGGGTAATGTATAGTAATCGTCCAATAAATTTTGCCATACCTTAAAAAAAATGATGTATGTGTGTGTGCGCGCGCGTGCATGTGTGTGGATACCATTTTTCGTACAGGTCTTTGGAAACACGGATCAACTGATTTGAATAATTCAAAAAGTATTCGATTCCTGTTGATAAAGAGACGTGCTGATTAGTTTTTAACAAAAGTTTGCCCAGCCGTTTCAGAGATACGGAGCAAAGAGTGCAGAAAATGTAAATTAAGTTTTTGAGAGAATGGAGCATCTGATTTGAATGATTCAAAAAAAAATCTACTTGCATTGACGTGCTGAAAATTGATTGAATTTTTGCAAGGCAGACAGGTCCAGCGGTTACGGATGCCATTTGGCGGTCGAAAATCAGATACTCTAAGCAGTATAGATCAACTTCAATTCGCAAGATTTGAAAAAAAGAATTCAAATAATGTTTAAATACTCTTTGAACATTTCATTACGGTACGGAAAGTTCTAGCAATTTGCCTTAAGACACGATCTCAGAAGCAAATTCGTTAATTGCCGTGGATATTCTGAACCATAGATAAACTAGTGGGCTGCATGACATCATGCCTTAAGGAAAATTGCTGGAAGTACCCGTACCGTAATTAAAAAACTTGGTACGGAACCCAAAAAGATTTACACAAAATGTGTACACATAATTAAAATCTCTATAAAACATCTGACAATTTGATGTACATATGTCCAATAAACATTTTTGACCGCAAAATGATGTTTTTTTAACTTATTTTTATTGAGAGTCCATAACCGCTGGATCTGCCTTCCTAAAAATTTAATCAGTTCTTCATCTTGTCAATACTCTTGCAAAATGTTTTTTGAATTATTAAAATCGGACCTTCCATTCTCTTAAAAACTAAGTTACCGTTTTTGGCACTTTTTGCCCCGTATCTTCGGTACGGTTAGACCTGCCTTCGCCAAAAACTAATCAGAATGTCTCCTTATCAATACGAATCGAATGTTTTTTGAATTATTCAAATCGCTTCATCCGTGTTCCCGAAATCGTCGACGAAAATTTGTATCCACACACACACACACACATACATCCATTTTTTCTAAGGTATGCCAAAATATTCAGAAACCTTTGCAACGTAAAGATATATAAAAATTTTCATTTTCGATTTTTTTTACCGTACGGGAAGTACGGTAAGAAGCATATAAGCAAATAAGCAATCAACTATGAACACTGGAGCGCGCGAGTCCTATTATTTGGAACAATGAATTTCAAACCATATAAAAGGTGAGGCACATCTAAGACACCTTTCATAGTACTTGCTTTAAGATGCATTTTAGCATATTATAAATTGAAGTCGATATTCAAGAAATTGTCAGGCATGAGAAATACTATAATGCCCAACCCCATCTTGCCCAACCGGCCTAACCCAACCCTGTCTCTTCTCTGAAGAAACGCTTTGCTTAGCATGTTGGCACGACTGCGTAATGTGAGAGAGAATTGTTATGATGAGATCAAAATAATTCGCTTTTGGCGTATTTGACTTGAGTCTCTTGCAAATCGTTCAGAAACAATTTGATAATGAACAGAGTATGTAACTCTGCTCTCGTTTAGTGTACGTATTAATGTTGTGGGTATGTGACTAATAAAATGATTATGTTATACTTATCGTAGGTGTGTTTGTTATTTATAGATTTGAGGTTTGAAATTAGTTGACGAAGACTTCTTGGTGGATGATATTTTAACATAAAGAAATTGAGAATCTTCGACCATGTTTTTCACATCGGGTATTACTGATTTGACACTTGACGATAGGTTTACGCTTATGGGCAATGTCAGTAGACCAGCCAGAGGGTCGGGCTTTAGAGGCAGAGCAAGGGGGCGCGCCGGAGTGACTCGTCAGTCAACAATTCGAAGTATGGACTTAATGGCGCAAATGGAGAGCAGGCCGTCAGTACGAGCGGCCCTTAGGCTGAGAAGAGTGTGTATAACATAACATTATTGTGGTGGCCCCCTTGGTTGGTGTAATTCAATATGTGATATGTTTATGTTTATGTCTTGTGCAATTTTAGATACCATTGAAGCCTGCTATAAAACAGAGACTGACTTTAAAAAGAGGAGTTAATAATAATAGAAGAAATTTTCGTAGAAGTAACAGTATTGGGAGTGTGTACACAGTACCTCTGAAATCAGAGCCACAAAACAATTTTAGGTATTGCAAACATTTACACTATTTTCTGCAGTATGTTATTTTGCTTTATGGAAAAGTTTGAATTCTAATTTCATTAGAATCATTAGATTTCATAGAATAGAACCGTTAAATTGAAGGTTTACTTTTGATGTGGTATTCCGTGTTAAACAAATTATTGCATGTTATGGACAGTATGCATATAAACATTAGAACATTAGAAAGAGTGTGTCTATAAACAAGTACTCTATAATCCATGGAATAACATTATAGTGAAAACAAGAATTCTTTATTTCTCCATTTATAAATTCTTTAAATTTATTTTTAAATGTTATTGAGAGTGTTTATGATGTAAAAAATACTATTATATAATCTTTCACTTGAGGGGTATTATAGTGTAGGGACATGAATTTTAGGTAATTTTTAAATCGTTGTAAAAAACATGTATTATTTATTAATTTTTGACAAAATGGTGACTGTTTGAAAAAAGATCATTTTTCTTACCACTTTTTGAGTATCTCGAATTTTTTAAAAATAGTAAAAGTTGAAATTTGTATATACCAGAGATAAAGAAGACTCTATGAGAATTTCAAAGGAATTGGTTCAGTAGATCTCGAGAAATCATGGGCATTATATTGAATGACAGTTTTGAGAAAATTGCATTTAAAGTTTTGCAAAAGGAAGGAAACGGAAGAGGATTATCATTATCAAACAGCTGTATCTCTGAAAGTAATTTGAATTTTAAAAAATCCTCTTGTGCACAAATTCTTAAATAGTTAAATTTCAAAAATATGAAACAAAGGAAAAAACTATTTTTTTGAATTTCTACACTAGAATACCCTCTTAATGGTTTAATCTATTTTTTGGAGTAATTTTTCTTCAAAAGATTATAGAACTTTTTATTAATTTTACTATCTTCTCATTTATTTCACGTAATTTCAAACCATACCCTATAAATATAATTTTTTTTCCTATAGATAATTATTCTTTCAAATAGTTGTCCACTTTATTGATAGTATGATAAATTATGTTTTCTTTCTAGGACTTTACGACGTTCATCATCAATGAACTCATTGAATTCTTTTGCTTCTACTAATGGAAGGAGTCGGAGTATGAATAGATCAACTTCTAGAAGTAGATCTAGATCTCGTTCACAGAATAGGAATCTACCACAAAATAGGTTTCCAACTAGAAGTAGATCTCAGATTAGATCACAACCTTCGGTCCGATCCAGGCCGCGGCAAAGGAATCCACGCGGACAGATTACTAAGGTTTTTAGAAGAAATTCTATTGCATCTGTGTCTGATGTCGTCAGACAAGAACTTCCTGGGTTTGGTAGAGGTCGCCCTTTCAATCGGTAAGTATATAAATATATACTTTATCATAGTTATTAATAGTAATCTCATAAAAATCGAAAATGAAATTTTTTATATATCTTTACGTTTCAGAGGTTTCTGAACATTTTGGTTAGAAAAAATGGATGTATGAGTGTGTGTGTGTGTGGATACAAATTTTCATCGATGATTTCGGGAACACGATTCAATCGATTTCAATTCTTCAAAAAATATTCGATTGCTTTTGATAAGGAGACATGCTGATTAGTTTTTGGCGTAGGCAGGTCTAGCCGTTTCGTAGATACGGGGCAAAAAGTGCCAAAAACGGTAACTCCGTTTTTAAGAGAACGTAGCGTCCGATTTTAATAATTCGAAAAACATTTTACTTGCATTGATAAGATAAACAACTGATTAAATTTTTGGGAAGGCAGGTTCTGCGGTTATGGACTCTCAATAAAAATAAGTAAACAAAATTTCATTTGGTGGTCAAAAATGTTTATTGGACATATGTACATCAAATTATCAGATATTTTATAGAGATTTTAATAATGTGTACACATTTTGTGTAAATTTTTTTGGGTTCCGTACCAAGACTTTTAATTACGGTATGGGAAGTTGCAGCAATTTGTCTTAAGGCACGATGCCATGCGTCCCACTAGTTTTTTTCTTTTTTCGTAATACTAGGAGTGTTGCAATTATGTACACATGTCAATTTTTTGTGACCCCTCACTTCAACAACTGCTAATTTTTAAAATAAGTAACATATTTTATTTTTATTTCTTTTCTATTCTCTCTTATATAATTATAAAAAAAATAACAGTACAAAAATGTATTGCCTTTTTTACAATGATTTAGAGATGAACTAAAATTCATGCCTCTAACCTAGAATACCCCCTTAATTATATATTTGATTTAATGCTATAGATCACGTGGTGGTGCACGAAGAACAAACTTTGGCGCCCCAGGCAGAATAATACGAAACAGAAGGAATAGTAATGCCCAAATAAATGGCCAAAGTCAAGGGCAGTCAACACGCAGACGCGGAACGACAGCAGGTAGAGCTCGTGGAGGTAATAGAGGTCGAGGACGTGGAGGAAATAAGTCTGGTGCCGGTGAGTAGTTCAAAATTTTATAAAGAGATAGTTTTTTTTGTAGTTAATAAAAACAAAAAATATTGAAGAAATAAATTTCTTCAACCAAATTATTTTGGTAATTTTATTTTTAAACATAAACTTTGAAGAGATTAAGTTATACCTAGTGATATGTTTTATGTGGTTTATTTTGCAACTGGTTTTTTATTTAACATAATATAAAAATCAGTCATATTTCAATCATCAAATCAAAAATTATTTATTATAATATACACGTAATTGTGAACAAAAAACTGAGTATACCAACTTTATCATTTTGGGATCATTTTTAATAAATACAATCACTTCTTTTTCAGTTACAATTAAAAAGGAACAGTTGGATGCTGAACTAGACACTTATATGTTGGGATCAAAATCTCAATTAGACCAAGAACTTGAAAAGTACATGAGCAACACGTCCATGGATTTCAATTAGATTATGCATTACATAATATGAACTATGTGTATATAATTAATGCATAAAGTATGCATTTGTTTTCAAATATGATGAATTGATTCTCCGCTCAATAATTAGTATTTATTGTTTAATTATTAGATTCATAGTCATAAAGACGTTTTATATTTATAAGTTGTATAAAAAAAGTTAATAAAATCATTTTATTGAAATCTAATTGTGTTATTTTTTAGTATGATTAACTTTTTTTTTTTTCAAATGAAATTGCTCTTCTCAGGCATTAATAGTTGAAATATGATCAGTATTAGAATTAATTATTAGTTCTAATAATAAATTCTATTGGACAGAGATAATTGGATAGTTTAAGTGTAACTGATTAAAAACTATTCTGATTGCTGTTAACAAAAGATTAAAAAGTGTTTCATTTTTTAAATAGAGAATAATATTAGGAATACCAATGCTGCATAAATCATTGAAGACAATTGTTGAATAATATGTTTGTAACATTAGTTAAAAAAAAAAATTCGAAAGCATTTTAAAGTATTGCATATTGCAAACAAGTTCTTAATTTTTTAATGAAAATTTTACTCTAGAACAAATAAAACCAGGTTGAACACTACATGTAGTGCTATGAAACTATTCAATGGGTTCTCGAAACAGACCAAGAAAACCGATGAAGAGCATAAATTTAAAAACTAGGTAAAAAAAATATTATAAACAAATAAATCGGGATAAATAAATTGGACCGATGAATGAATGTCAAAATAAATATACATATGATTAAATAATTGAATAAATGATATGAAATGTTGAAATGTAGATTATTCGTATACATGTAGTAATGACAGGTAAATAAATATATACCATGTATAGATATTTTGTATAATCTCTCGTACCAGGTACTTTTTGTCTGAATGAGATATACAAAATGTATTATAATTGAAAAATAAAATAATTCATCACATGCTAAACATTTTAAGAATTAAAATCATAAAAACTTTATAATTATATTATGCCTATAGATAAATACATTTTATTCAAATTCAAAAACCATCTAGATAACACAGCTATTTGATTAAATAAACAATAAGCAATTAGTTATCTATTTGAAAGAAAATGTTTTGCATGTTTGATTATAAATCTTGAAAGCTTTAAGAAAAAAATAAAAAAAATCCATTAAAAAAATCCAATTACGAAGAAATGGCCTGGTCTATCTTTACTAAAAACTAATCAAGGTGATCCCCAACCGAATATCTGTCGAACAGTTTTTGAATTTTTAAAATCGATTCAAGATTGCGGGTTTAAACGTAGACGAAAAATTTTTAACTTCTCTGCTAATTACAAAGAAACTGCTTGGACGATCGTCGCACAAAATAGATCGCTAGTGCTTATCAAACTACACCGCGAATTGCTCTTAAATTATGGAAATCGGTTCAGTTGTTTTTGAGAAAACGTCGACACACACACACAATTTTTCAAATTTGGTCTCAATCGCTTCAGAATGACTTGAAACGTCGAGAAAATAGCAAATCGGATTTTTAGTGAAAACAAACTTCTCTTTGGGGAAGTTAAATATACATCACTTATCCATCGTTTTACACGTTTTCGATCCTATGCGGTTTTTGAAACTATATTTAAATAAAATTTATTAATCTAGTATTTACAAAAAATTATAAACACTAAACTATAATTTGCTTATATCTACAATAACATTTTCATTGTTCTACTGTCAAAATATAACGCTGTAAAATGTATGTAACAGTTACGAATTCTATGATGGAAATATGTAGATAACATGGGAACATGATAGGAACTTCCTGTTTTATGAATAAAACTAAATTTTATGTGTGTATAAGCTAGTTTGTTTGAAATACCGAAACAAAGAATATCATATAATTTCTAAACTTTGAAATGAATTTCTAATTTTTATTTTTATCTACAATGAAAACGCAATATTTCAAATAAGATTCTTTAAATATTTATTTTATCATTGAAATAAATTAATATTTATATAAAATTTATTTCTAGTGGGGTGCATGGTATCGTGCCTTAAGGCAAATTGCTGGAACTTCCCGTACCGTAATTAAAAATCTTGGTACGGAACCCAAAAAAATTTACACAAAATGTGTACACATAATTAAAATCTCTATAAAATATCTGATAATTTGATGTACATATGTCCAATAAACATTTTTGACCGCAAAATGATATTTTTTAACTTATTTTTATTGAGAGTCCATAACCGCTGGACCTGCCTTCCTAAATATTTAATCAGTGCTTCATCTCATCAATACAAGTAAAATGTTTTTTGAATTACTAAAATCGGGCGCACCTTTCTCTTAAAAACTGAGTTACCGTTTTTGGCACTTTTTGCCTCGTATCTTCGGAACGGCTAGACCTGCCTTCGCAAACACTAATCAGCACGTCTCCTTATCAATACGAATCGAATGTTTTTATTTGAATGAATTATTCAAATCGGTTGATCAGTGTTCCCGAAATCGTCGACGAAAATTTGTATCCGCACATACACACACACACAGACACACATACACACGCACACACACATACATCAATTTTTTCTAAGGTATGCCAAAATGTTCAGAAACTTTTAAAAGGTAAAGATATATAAAAATTTTTATTTTCGATTTTTTTACGATTACTATAGTAAGTTATATATAACTTACCCTACGGGAAGTTAAAAAATGTATTTGATATTAAATATATAAATATTTAGTTCTTGTTCACTGTGTTTGTAATTTATCATATTAAAAACTGACAACAAAAGGGCTTTACTTTTGCACGGAACCTATCTTCCGTGTAAAGAGGGGAACTGGTGTACACTATTTTTGCGATAAACTAATTTATTAAATCATCAATTAATTATAAATTAAATCAAAATCAAGGCTGATGTAAACTTTAATATTTCTAATGAAATTCTAATTTTGGAAAATTGTTAATAATTTTTGCTTAAGCACGTTGACGGGCCTGTGTAATTGATACGGCGGTAGCTACACTAAGTTTAGGTTTAGTCAACTAACATTCAGTTTACATTATAACAGCTGCTACAAATCGCAATAAGAGCAGATCCCGAGACCTGCGCTTGACCATCCCTGCTACAAAGACAATTTAACCTTCAATCGACTAGACCCATGCCAGGCGAATATCGCTTCTGAGTTCCTTTGCGCAAGAGTTATAATGGCTCGCTTTGAATCCAATATGAAATGTGTTGGACTTGTCAAACTCACCTACGCTCGGTAAATGAATTTGTATTTGCTCGGAGGCCAGTACGAGCAATATTGCTATCTCGTGCTCTTCCAGAATAAAATCATTATTTAGTCAACAAATAAAATATTAAATAATATCGATGCTGGTCATTTATAAATTACTGTGATTTGTGTACGTTTGTGGCAAAATTACAATTTGTTGTTATATTTGTTAAATCAATTAAAAAAATCTTACATTACAACCGGTGTCTAATAAATATTCATATCAGTTGTGTCTCATTGTCAGTGCTTTGATAAAAGATCAATAATCTGTACCTAGCACGAATAAAATTGTTGTGATATTACAGTATCTCGACGCAAGTATTCAGAATAAGCTATTTCAAGACTACTTAAAAATAATTTAATATATTTCTATTCAAAAAACAATTTTTATTTCTATTTAAAATTTAATATATTTCTATTTCATTGTTTCTTTAAATCCTTTGATATCATCCCATGATCACTTTCCCCGTGTCATTGTTTCTGTAAACAAAAGACTAAAGTAGTTGGTTTTGGATTTATTTCAAAAATGCTTATTTTTTTTGCAAAAATTTACGTGCGTTAAATTACCAAATTTAAATATATTATTTTTATTAATTAATACTACTGATGCATCGTGGACTGTCGTATTATATGAAGGATTTTGCGTTTTTATGAGATGGAGTTTCCCTTCGATATAAATAGTGTTTTCAAAACACCGATTACGAAAATTCACAACAATTTGCTGCCAGATGGCTTTCAAGGGGATCGTAGACTGGCAGGGTAAGCATTAGCAGTAGATTATTAAAAAAATAAAATAAATAAAATATATTAAATATTTTTTGTTATTTTGACGTTGATACAAATTGAACCTATTGTTTCAGCCAATACGTCAAATAAATCAGATCTTAAATTAAATATGTTGTAATGCACTAGTTTCGATATTTAAATTGGTGCCATTTTTCAGCAGGCACAAAACTTCCATTTATAAAAATTTATAAAATATTATTTTATTATCATAATGTATAGAGTATATATTCTAATAGTATTTTAAATTAAATTCAGACAGTATTTCAGACAATTAAATAGTATTTTAAAAAATAATCTATACATTATGACAATAATATTTTTTTTTTTAATTGTTATAACGTAAAGAGTATTTTTTTAAAAATACTATTCGATTTTTTTAACGTACTATTAGAAACAAGTACTCTATACATTATGACATTATCATATTTTTTAAATTGTCATAATGTATAGAGTACTTTTTCTAATAGTATTTTAAAAAATAATCTATATACATTATGACAATAATACGTTTTTTAATTGTCATGATATATAAAGAATTTTTTATTAGATTTTTTTTATAATAGAGATTTTATATAACATTATATATGTTATGATGTATAGAGTATTTTTTTAATAGTATTTTAAACTAAATTCTAACTGTAAACTTAAAAAATAATCTATACATTATGACAATAATATTTATTTAAAATATTAACAGATTTTTTTGAAATACTACTAAAAAATACTCTATACAATAATATCAAAATTTTTGAATGCACAGAGTATTTTTTGAAAATACTATTAGATTTTTTAAAATACCATTTGAATAAATATTCTATACAATATGACAATAATATATTTTTTTAGGGCTTATAATTGGAAGTTTTTTATCTACTGAAAGATGATACCCATTTAAGTGTCGAAGCAAGTGCAATTAATAAATATTTAATTTATGTACTTTAAATAAACTCTTGAGGAATTTAAATAAACTCTACAAAATTAAATATAATATATATATATATATATATATATATATATATATTTCAATTACTTTATTCTGTGGACTGTAACCTGCATTTATAGTTTGTATAAGCAGGTGTGAGCAACCCGTGGCTCAAGGGCCATCCTGCTCATTACAAATTTTGCTTTGGATTTTTGAAAATTCTTAATCTAAATAGTCATAAGAAATATCACAGCATTAATAACACTGTCAATAATACAATTTCTCCAAATACCAATAGAAAATGGGAATAATATAAAATTTTCCCAAATTTCCTTCAATTGCTCCAAAAACTGATACAAAATAGAGAAAATCTATACAATTTTCTAAATTTCCCTCAATTTTCCCAAAAACTGATAGATTATAGGGAAAATGTATAAAATATCCTCAAAAACTGATTCACATCAGTTGCTGAATATATTTCTTAAGAAATGCATAATTTTGAAGTTTTATCATAATTCGGTTTTATTGCCAGTAAAGAAAAATGTTGCTCTTATAAGATTTATAAAACCCATTTGCTTTTCAATTTAGAATATAAAATTTGCCCATTCCTGTTGTTTGTAAATTCAACTTTGTACTGTAGTCCAGAAAATATGGTTCAAAGTTTTTTACCCTGAATTTTTGATTTTTGTTAACTCAAAAGAGCGTGATACTACTAAATCGAAAATACTGCAAATAATTTCGTACCATAATATATTTTGGGAGTGAAAAACTGATTGAATATGGGAACATTTATAAAATTTTCTCAAATCTTTCTGAGTTTCTTCAAAAATAATAGAAAATGTATAATTTTGTAATAATTCATAGTTTTGTCGTAAACAAAGAAAAATGTTGCTTTCATAAGATTTATAAAACCCATTTGGTGCTCAGTAGAAAAAAAAATATTGTGAAAAAATCAACGAACTTAAATTTGAAATTAAGATAATATTTAAAAATATAGATCTTTCTGGTCTGAAAGGAACAAATGTTTTGAGGAACGATTCAGTGTTTTAGAAAGAAAATTACATGATTATAAGCATAATTCAACAAATAAAAACGTAATTGAAAATAATATTGAATAAGAAAAAAAAACTCGAATCGAAAAATAAACAAATTTTGTGGAATGTAACAATAGGCTTGAATTTGATTACAAAAATCTCCAGGAAAAGTTCTATGAATATACGAAACCTCTTGCTAAATATGGTTGTAAATCCAACTTTTTAGTAACATCAGAAATTAAGATATGATTACAACAAACAATAAATTTCATTTAAAGGTTTTTTTAACCTTTACTTTTTATTAATTCAAAAGACTGCAATTCTACTAAATTGAAAATACTGCAAATAATTTCACACCGTAATGATTTCACAACTTGATCAATTTAAAATAACCAAGTATATTTAGTACCTTGTGCAAATTATACACCAACCTACTTCTGGCTATTTACGCGAAGCTGTTTTTCCTGTTACACATATTCTGTTTGACATAGAAAAAGGTTTTTACCATGTTACTGTCATCAGATAATATAAATGTAAAGCCAGTTCTAAATAAGTGAAAAGAGAAAATTCAACAACCATAATTTCTCATCTTTGTACTGCAAATTGAAAACAAATTATGGTAATATCTATATAGTACAATGGTAATACTTATTTTACAATAAAGTATATTATTTTTGATTGATGTAAGATTTATTTATATCGTGCTAAATGGCTGTACAAAGTATTAAAATTTGATAGATTTTAAGCAAGTTTAGTTCATTCGATAGAGCATGAGACTCGTGGGTGGACCAGATCATTTTCTAGAAGTTTATATATTTTTTTTATTTTGATCATATTATTGACATCATAGTTACGATATAAATATATATTTATATTTATATCGTATTTAATATTTAATATTTATATATTTTTTGATGTCACGTGGGGGAGGGAGGAGAGTCTAGTAAGATATCATCAAGTGTCTTTATCTTTACCTGAATTAAAACAAAATCCAAATTTTTTCAAAAATGTTACATGGTTCTAAAAATACACGTGATGTTGAGTAGAGGTGGGGGTTGTAATTTCAAATATCACCACGTATCACCAAGAGGGGTGGAGGAGTTTAAAAATCCCTAAAAAATCGATCACGTAATTAATGGACGTCCCCAAAATATTTGTCATTTTCCTGTTTTACACTAGGTGCAAGTGGCATTTTACCTTAAGGCGAGTTGCATGAACTTCTTGATCAATAAGAATTGAAATTTGGTAACTTTTTAAATTCTAACAGTGGAATTTTGAATTTTTGATGAGTCTGATCGTTCAAAATTTTGTCATTTTCGAATTACTGTTATGCACTAGGTGTAAGTGGCCTTTTACCTTAAAGCGAGTCAATCAATCAATCAATAATAAATGAAATTTAGTAACTTTTCAAATTCTAACAGTATAAGTTTGAAGCTTCAGTGCGACCAATTTTTCCAAATTTTAACGAATTTTTATAATTGAACGTAGGTCTACAATATTTTGGGATGTTCTTTAAGACAATGAACTCTATAAACATAAAAAATTTCACCAGAAACATTTAAAAATGATTTTCAACAATTAACTACACTTTTCAAAGTTCTACAATATTTTAAGATGTTCTTTAAGACTATGCACTTTATAAACATAAGAAATTTCGTTATTTCTTTAAGACTATGAATTCTAAAACATAAATTTTTTTGTCAGAATCGTTCAAAAATGATTTTCAACAATTGATTAGAATTTTTCCTAGGTCTACAATATTTAAGGATGTTTTTTAAGACTATGAACTCTATAAACATAAAAATTTCGTCATTTCTTTAAGGCCATGAACTCTATAAACATGAAAAAAATCGCCAGAATCGTTTAAAAATAATTTTCAAAAATTAATTGTACGTTTCTTAGATCTACAATATTTTAGGATGTTCTTTAAGACTATGAACTCCATAAACATAAAAATTTCGTCATTTCTTTAAGACTATGAACTCTATAAACATAAAAAAAATCGTTAGAATTGTTTAAAAATGATTTTCAACAATTAATTACACTTTTCGTAGGTCTAAAATATTTTAGGATGTTCTTTAAGACTATGAACTCTATAAACATAATAAGTTTCGTCATTTCTTTAAGACCATGAACTCGTCTGGAAAAAACTTTCGTCAGGATCGTTTAAAAATGAACATTTCAAACTCAGTTCAGATTTTTTTTGCAAAAACGTGGACAAAGATTTTTATAATGAAGTAGATGGATATAAAATATATTAGCAATTTTTTGCACTTTTCTGTTAATTATAATCTTAGCTGGCTGATAGGATACATCGCAAAAAAAACTAATCAACGCGAGTCCTTATCGAGACTCATTGCATGTTTTTTTTCCAAATTTTGCGAAGTGGTTCAGCCTTTTTTGAGAAAACATGATACTTCTTCCAATATTGGTCTGAAACAACGCAGCTTGAATTGAAACGTGGAGAAAACATAAAATTAGCAAATCGGATTTTCTGACGAAAATATAAACTTCCCCTTCGGGAAGTTAAAAGTATTCCTCACTAAGTTTTCCTGATGAATTTACATTTTTTTTATTTTATCACATATACTTAGAACTGCTCATTGAATTAAATTTGGCTTTTGCCGAAAATTAAGAAAATGTGGGCAAGTAAATTAAATGAATTTCAACATTTTCAATACTTTTAATACTTTTTGCATACATTCTCAGTTAATATATTAAAGTGAAATTATATTTTCGGCATTTTGGTTATTGTGCGTTGTATATCACGATAAGGTTTCTTGCACGCAGGTTCCGGTGCGTGTACTAAAAAATCACGACCAGAACAGTACCGGGTCAATAAATGATGTAACTGCCTGATGGCAAGAACTTTAGAAAAGTATCCCAATATGATAAAAAACTTTTTTACATTAAATGTCGATCTCAGATAAATAAAAGATAGAACTAATTTTTCGAAATTTTTAAAATTTTGTCTGTTTGATGTGGATGTCAAATAATATTGATCATAAATTGAATAT